TGAAAATTTGATATTATTTTGAAAAAAACAGAAAACAAAACATATAATAACTATAGCAACAACAAACAACAACAAACAATTAAAACTTATTATCTAATTAGGAAACAGAAAGCATTACTATAGAATTAGTAATATAGTACTAACAACATATTAACAAATATAACAAAAAGTTTAATTCTAGGTACTAATTAGCTAAAAAAGAAAGATTCTAATCCAATCTGTTAGAATATAAACCAATAGATAAAAATTGCAATACAGATATTATATCTTATATTAGAGAAATAAGAGATAAAAATCAAAAACATATAGACTGTAAAATTTTGAACCAAGTTTTCAAAACTTTTATACAAAATCCAAGTAATATAGAACACATTGCTAAAGATTTAGTAATATATAACCCAAAACATAACATTCTTTATAACATGATAATATATGATCAAATATTAGAAACTTTAAAATTAGCAAAAACAAACTAGCTCAAAGAAGAGATAATTAAGAAGTAAGCAAAAAAGCTCAGATTAATAAGCTTTAATTAAGGCTTTTTTGAATACAATACAAATATAAACAAAGAAGTAATATACCAAAAAGAAAAAAAAACAAATGAAAAGTAAGGACTGGTAATACTAGAAGAACAAATAAAAGGTCTTAGCATTATTATATTATATTACCAAATAAGCCAACTAATAATAAATCTTTTTTTTTTTTTGCTTTTACTAAGGCTGCAATTATTGGTAGCTATTGCCTTTATTATATTTTAATTATAATTACATAACTTGTACAAAGTGAGTATACAACTAGCCACATGTACAACTTTTGGTTATCTAATTTAAGTAGTTCATCTACACAACAGGTTCTATACTAGCTGCCATAACTCTGATTTCTATACTTATATCAACAAATAGTACACAAGTTTCTATACATCTAAGTGCTGTCTAACCTAACTATGACCTTCCAGTCTGTATATCCATCAAGCCGTTACATATTTCAGAGTATGTCACCTGACTTGTAGGACTTCAGAGAGCTCTCTTGCTAACTAACTATCCACATTTAGTATCTTGTTAACAGGGCTCACTCTTGCAGAGTTTACTCAGACCCTAGCACTAACTTTACAGCATATCTTTAGTACTTTAGTATATCTCTGTTTTTGATCTCAGATTTCCAATCCAGATAGCCTAATAGGACTATAACCTGTTTCTGATACCCCAGAATCTGCTCTTCAAGGTTTTTTTCTTTTGGTTCAAAACTTTCAGCAGCCTGGTTGATGGTATCCCTCACCCAAAATTCTTGTCTACCTGATTCTTTTTACATTAGTATCTGTTTTTTAGGTCTAGCCTTTATAGTAGTACTGTCAAAGATCTGTGCTACCTCTCTACTCAGATCTTTCCAAGTGGGCTTCAGTTTTTTCAGTTCATAGATTTACACAGCCACAAGGACTTATCTTGGGTTTGCACTGCCTGATGCTGGTTTGCATTCTTCTGTATAACTCCAACATTGCACAAATGCCTTATGACCTGCCAGTTATTTGGTGTGACCATGTTACAGATACTGATCCCAACTAATCGACAGATTGCTATTGCTATAGTACCAAACACAAGAACTTATCTTGAGTTTGCACTACCTGATGCTGGTTTGCATTTTTTTGTGTAACTTCAATATTGCACAGATGTCTGTAGTACCAATATACATAGGTGGTTTTCAAATTTTTGTCATCAGTAGGTTTTAAACTCCCTACCTACTACTTGGAGGGTTGACAATTTATCTATTTCACTAAGTCACCACACCTTGATAATAAATCTAAAATGATAAAAAGTAATATATTGCAAGAAATAAAGAAAAGCAGTAAAAACAAAAATATGAAATTAGAAGAACAATAAGGAAAATCAACTAATGAAGAAACTAGTGTCTCATTTTCTGTGAGTACAATTGAGCATAGTCAATAGTTTTTTAAAAATAGAATATATAATAAAAACAGGTCTTTTAAAACAAATATGCTGACATATGCTTTGCTAAGTAAATCTAAAGAAAAAAGAGTAAAGTATGTTCAGTAAATATTAGAAAATAACTATTATATTAAAATAATCAAAAAAGTATTCAAAAATAAAAACAATTAAATAAAGGTAGATTTTAATTGTAAACATAACAGAGATGCAACAATGAACAGAATTAAAAGAAATAAAGATAAATGACTTAAACTCATTTCAAAAAAAAATAAAAGTAAAAGTCAATATATAGAATAGCAAGAGAAACATAATACTAAAAAAAAAAAAAGAAGAAAATATAAAACAAACAAAAAAGAATAAAGAAACAAGAAGAACAAAAGAAATAAAGAAACAAAAAAAAAAAAAAAAAAAAGACTTTACAAAGAAAAGCATTGTAATAGAAAATTTTGAAGAAGAAGAAAAGAAGCTACATAAGAAAAAATAGTTAACTATATAGAATCTACTACCAAACATTAATAAAAAATAAATAAAATATATGTGCAGAAAATTTAAAGACTTGAACATTATATGAGTTAAGAGATCACTATACAAGGCATTAGCAATAATAATAGCAAGCTTAGAGAAAAAAAAAACATTTTATAAGTATTGCTATTTGGCAATAACAAATTAGCATATATAACAAATAGTGATAAAGATTATAACCAAAGAGATAAGCAAGAATAATATACAGCTAAATTGTTAAATATCTTAAGAGAAGCCTCAGAAGTGCTTCTATTACAATGCCTAAAAAACAAGAATATAAAAGCAATATACATTCTATGCAACAAAAATAGAAACCAAAAGAAGTTTGTAATAATTATCTTTGCAAATGCTCTAGCAGCAAAAAAAGCCTAAACAATACCAATATGGTACAACAATTATTAAATAAGTTGAAAAATCTTAAAAGGAAAAAAATACAAAAAAGAAATAAGTCAAGAAGCAAAAAACAAAATTAAAAATAGATAGTAAAAAACAAGAAGTATCAAGAATTAGAAATATAAAACAAAGAGGTGTGGTGACCTAGTGAAGTAATCAGGTTGTCAACCTCCCAAGTGGTAGGTTAGGTGTTCAAATACCATTAATGATAAAAATTTGAATAATCACTTATATAATATTCATATTACAGCAACTGTTACTAATTATTAGATTAGGATATTTGTAATGGCAGTTACATCAGCATGACTGGCAGGTCATGAGGCATCTGTGCAATGTTAGAGTTACATAAAAAAATGCAAACTAACAACTAGATGGTACAAACATTAGATAAGTCCTTGTGACTATATAAATTTATTAAAATTAAGTAACAAGAAGTTCATTTAAGAAGACCCAAGTAGAAAGATAACCAGATTTTTGATAATGCTACTATAAAGGCTAGCTCAGAGAAGCAGGTACCTAGGTCTTAGTAACCAAATAGGTAAGAACCTTTAGGTTGAAAGTTTCAAAGATACCACCAATTAGGCTACTAGAATAAATCAATGAAAAAAGATATTGAGCTTACTTAATATATTAATAGACTGATCATAGTTTTATATGAGCTATCTGGATTAAAGTTTAGCAAAATTTAGAAGTATACTAAAGTATTGAGGTTATGCTATAAAATAGATGCTAAGGTCTGAGTAAACTTTACAAAGGCATAGCAGTTTAATAGTTAAGTCCTAACTGCAAGTATTGGTTCTGCTATAGTAATACTTAAGTCAGCTGTAAAAATAGATACAGAAGGCTCTGAAGAATTTATCTTAAGGATAAATTAGTTCTAAGATTGAGATGATGATCTGAGCATCTGAGTATAACCTAGTGAGTTAACACAGATTACAGATTCAAAAGATTTAAAGTAAAACACTCAAGCAAAGGCATTAGATATAACAATTAGTAAGGAACTTTTAGGCAAACTTCTTAAATAGATAATATAAAAAAGTTATATATGTAGCCAATTGTACACTCTCTTGTAGTGGTTCATTAAATTACAATATCAATAAGTAATTAATAAAAGTCAAAAAACCAAAGAAATCATCTTAACACCAAAAAAAAAAAAATTATAAAACAAGAATAATCAAATAGAAAATATAACAAAATAGGTTTGGATCTCTAGATACAAAATATAAAAAAATAATTAGAAGACAAAAATGCTAATATAGAAATAAAAAAAGATTCTTTAAAGAAAAAGAAGACCAAAACAGTTCTATAAGATCAAATAAGGGCAGTACAAATAGAAGATGTTTTGTGCCAAATTTTGGACAAACTAGACAGAATAGCAGAAATGCAGCTAGGTACAAAAAGTAATTTGACTAATTGCTTCTAAGAGCATTACAGTTGAATCAATAAATATAAACAAGAAAATTAAAGAGTTTTTGTAAATTGAAAGAGAGGTGTTTAAAGAAAAAAAAAATAGAGCCTTTTTGTTAAAAAAAAACAGTATACAATAGAGAGAAAAAGAATCCAAAAGTATAGAGACAAAACAAAGATCACTAAAAGAAAAATAGAAAGAAGAAAAAAGATATAAAACTTGCATATTACAACATAAATAGACTCAAAACCAAAGGTTGAAAATTGGAAAATCTGCTTAACTAAACAGAAGAAAAGGAAATTACAATATTAAGAATTAAGAGACAAATCTTATAAAAAGAAAAAAAAAATTTCTAACACATGTAATAGACAAAAGATATATAAAATTTTGAACAAATGCAGTAGAGAATAAAAAAAAAGTTAGTTATTAAAATTATAATAGATGAACAATAAGAAAGCACATAGGTGCAGTTAAGAAAATAAGTAAATATATAATAGAGATAATACTATATTTCAAACAATTGAAGTTAGTAGTAATTATAGTTTATATCAGAAATGATGCTGAATCAAATGATGCTAAAATCTATATGACATCCATATTAGCAGATTTCCAAAATTTTTAAATATTGTACAACTAATTAAATAATCTATACTACTATATTTTAGTAGAGTTATAACCAAATAAAGGCAAAAAAATTTTTTGTTGTTAGTAGATAAAAAGATAGTTTCATAAACATTATGTAGTTTGTTAAATCTAATTTGTGCATCATACTGGAGCTGCTTTAACCTAATAATTTATAATGCACTGTATTATTATTTTGAATATTATGTAACATTAATAATTTTATTATTATAATTAAAAAAAAGTTAAAATAAACCTTTTTACTTTTATTATAATTCTAGCCTATTCTATTTTAATTAAAACTTCTGAACTAACATATTTTTTATTTAATCTTTCAATTTAAAAAAATTTTTTTTTAAAAAAAAAAAATCATTAAAAAAAAAAAAAATTTAAAAAAAAATTTGTTTATAAACAAAATGAAAAAGAACTTAATATACATAATATAAAAAATAAAGGTGTTAGTAAAAAAAAAAAAATCAATTACAATTTTTTTATATAGCCCGAACCTGTTTAACTAAAACTTAAACATCTTTACTATTTACCTCAACAACTGCAGTATGATTGTTGACCTTGAGAGACTTGAAGACACCTTATTCTGAAAAATTTGGCTGCAACTTCCTCTTATAAGTTTGTTGATTCATGTCATAATTAGGTGCAATAATGACTTCAGTTTCAGCTTCGATTATGTTATTTACTGTTTTTTTCTATACACACCATGTCAGCCTAATTTTTTATGATATTTTTTAAGTAAAGCATTTATGGATTGATGAATTTCAAGCATATATAAATTGTGTTTCTTCACAGAAACTTCATTTATTATAGTTTTAGAGGCAGTAGTCTCAGTGATGTTGGTGGTAATGGTTTTAGTGTTGATGATCTCAGGAGCGATGGTCTCAAAGACAGCAGTAGTCACAGAGATAATGATAGTCTTAAAGGTAATGATGGTCTCAAAGGCACTAGTAGTCTCAGAGATGGCTATAGTCTTAGTAGTGGTGATGGTCTTAGGAGTAGTAGTAATTTTAGAGGCAGTATTGTTCTATAAAGATCTGTTATAAACAAAAAAACTCTAAGTTTAGTAGTTGCAATTTGAATTTTATTTGATTTTTGTATTAAAAATAATATAAACTAGGAGTATCATATACACAATGCATTTTTTATCTAAAAATTGCTTTGTGTAATGTGCAACTATATGCTTTGTAAACAGTCAAATTATATGATATCACAAAAACATCTATTACATTAATTCAGTCTTTTCTCTATAACTGGTTATTTTTATCCTAAAGCAACTTAGTAAAACCATGACCCATAGTCTAATTGAGTCTCTTAATTTGTCCCTGTAACTATAGATGACAAAGCCTACTATATCTAATTGTAATATTAAGGGCCTCACAAATTTCAATGATAATGCTTGCAACAAACTCCTTATCATTGTTATTTTAAAGAATTATAAAAAGTCCAAAAATCTTAAAAACATTTTTTAAAAGATGTCTTACAATCTTACTTGCTTTCTTATTCTTCATAGGAACTGCAACCAAAAATTTAGAGAACATACTAACACATGTGAGTAGTTATGCAAAATTATCATTAACTTTAGCAAAATCTTAGAAATCGATTAGGTTAATTTGAACATGTTGTCACAGTGCTAGTGATATCTTGTTTCTCATGTCAGTTTTTTCTTTAATGAAAGTAATTACTGTACAAGCAGCATACTGATTCACATATACTTTTACTTCTTCTTGTGTAACTCTAATATGCTTTTCTGAAATTGCAAAAAAAGTTTTATGATACTCCTAATAGTTCACTTGATCATAAAAATGTCCCAAAATTAGAATACACATTTTTTCATCATACTTGAAAACCACTTGATATTTTTTCAACATCATATTATTCTTTTCAACCAGCCAAACATAAAGAAAGTTATTTTTGTCAACTTTAAATTTTTTGCAGTAATGAATAAAATTGAATTTTTTTGTAGGATTCTGTTGAATATCATTTGGTATAGTCTTTAATTAAAGATATTTAATGATTGTTTAAAACTCTTCTGAAGTTTCTAGAATTTTGGAATTGCTGACATTTTTTTTTTTTGTTTATTTGTTTTTTTTTCCACTAATTCTTGAGTTCTATATTTATTATACTTTACTAATTCTAGGAAATAGTGAACTCTTTTTTTATAGTATTAGTAAGTTTTTTTCTATTAATTTTATGTTTTGAGATGAAAGTTCTTTATACTCTCTTTTTTTTTTTTTTTTGGTTTTTTTTTTTTTCTTTGCTAATTTTTGAGTTCTATATTTCTTATACTTTACTAATTCTAGAAAATAATAAACTTTTTTTTTACAATATTGGTAAGTTTTTTTTTATTAATCTTATATTTTAAGGTAGAAGTTCTTTATATTTACTTTTATTCACTTAAATTTGGACTGATAGTACAGTTTTTAAAGAAACAATGCCAAAGTACTGGAATAAAGAATGTATATATAATGCTAAAAAAGGCTTTGTTTTTTTTTGTATTATCTTATATCATTACACAAGATGCAGAAATTTTAGGAAATCTGCTAATACAGATATCATATAAATTTCAGCATTATCCAATTTTAACATTATCACTGACAGTTTATATATCATCAAATGATAAAATAGTAGAAAAAAACATTCAGCAAAAAATTATAAAAACAGTTTTAAAGAGAAAAAGACAAATGCAACTTATTGTAATAGGTAATTTTAATTACACAGTAGATAATATTTTAGACAAATGACATCTACAAACAATAAACTACAAAAGGCTGCTAATCTTTAATTAGTTAAAAAAACAAAACTTTAGAGATATATATAAAAACATAAATCTGATAAGTTAACAATATATATAGTCTAATAGAGAAGTAACAACAAGAATTGACTATATATAAATATTAGAAGAATTAGACTTAGGTTTACAAAAAGCAGAAATCAAAAAAGTAGAAGAGATTACAGAGAGCAATTACAGAATACTAATAGCTGAGATATAGATCAAACATATAATAGCAGAAAAAAACAAAGCAAAGATTAAAAGAAAAAGACGGTCAAGAACAATATACTTATATAATCAAACAAAATTAGAAGACTAGGAAAATTATGCACAAGAGCTGCAAAACTAATTAGAAATAAAGAAAGTGTTAGAAGACATATACAAGAAAGAACAAAATAAAAAGAAAAGAGCAGAGAAGATAAACAATATATGTGATATAATAAAAGAAGCAATTATCATAATAGCAAGTAAATACATATTTAAAAAAAAAGTATACAACATGATAACAAACAGAAAAAGAAGTTAAAAAGAACAATAACAATTGTTAAGTTTCAAAAATTAATCAAACATGCAAAAACAAAAAGAATTCAAACAATAATATAAGTAAAAAAAAGTAAAATAAATGAACAATTAAAAATACTAGGCAAAAAAATTAGTGCAAAACTATCAAGATTACAAAGATAATAGTCAAACATATAGATAGAAAATATAAAAAATTAGAAAAAGCTATTATTAGAAAGGAAAAAGAAAAATTGAAAATGAATACAAAGAAAACAAATAGAAAGAAATATAAATAAAAGGTGCAAAATAATCAAAACAGACTAGAAAAAAATAAGAGCTAGTCTTCTAAATAGGCCTTATAGAAACTAGTACTTAACAGATTTATTAAACAAATAAAAAAAGAAACAAATTTGCTAACAGATCCAGAAGACGTTAAAGCAAAAATAGCAAAACATTATAAGAAGTAATTTAAAAAAAAAATACTAAATTAAAAGAAATGTTAGAAAAGTAAAAGAAAATATATAAACTATGAGAAAACATCAAAGAGAAATAGTATACAGAAATTAAAAAAAAAATTTAAGAAAAAGAATAGAAAGAGGTACTAAGAAAATTAAAAATAAAAACAGCTTTAGATATATCAGATATAAGTTTAATAAAGTAAGCAAAAAAAAATATATAAAAAGTATTTGGAGGCTTTGCTGACCTATATTTAGAAATAGAAAAGATATTAACCAAATAGAATATAATACAGATTTATCCAATACCAAAAGATGTTGAGTAGGAATATAGTTTAAACAATATTTAACCAATAGCATTAATAGAACTTTTTAAAAAAGTTATAACAAAAGTAATAACAAAAAGGCTTACTAAAGTGTTTATAGAAAAAGAAATATTTAAAAGATTAAACTATGCAGTCCTTCTAGGCAACTTGACAGAACAGCTAGTACATATTTTTAATATAATAATAGAAAAAGTAAAAGAGAAGAGTAAAGAAGTTTGGATACTTTTGCAAGACATAAAAAAGGCATTTGACTCAGTTTTACTCAAGAGTTTAGAATTAGCATTATTAAGAGTTAAAGTACTTAAAAAAACAATGAAATAAATCTTGAACCTGTTTTATAAAAAACAATTTAATATTATTACAGCTTATAGACTAACAAAAGGAATAATAGCAAAAGACAATATTAATCAAGGTGAAGTAATATTATCATTAATATAATAGCTTTTTTATAATTTATTATTAGAGAGAGTATAAGAAGATAAAGACTTAAATTATATAATAAAGTAGCAAATTAAAAAAAAAATGCAATACAGCAATAACACAAAGTATTATTAAGCAGTTATTGTATATGCAGAAGATACAATGTGAATAGCAAATAGTAAAGAACAGCTAATAAAGATTTTAAAGATAGCAGAAGAATTCTTTATAATGAATGATATAAAAATAAACAGATCCAAATCAAAGCTACTAATAATAAATACAAAAGTAAAGAGAAGTAATCTTTGGAAAAAGCAAGATAATAAAAAAAACAAAGAACAAAATAGTCTACTTACTAGGAATATGGCTAAATAATAGAATAAGTAAAGTGCTAGTAAAAAAAAAAAGCTAAAAAAATAATTAGTCAAACAATAAAAAATCCCAGTTACAAAAAAATGACAATGAGTCAAATTGTATATATAAACAATATAGTAATAATATTAAAATTAAGTTATATGCTGCAATTAACAAAAATATCAAAAAGAAATATAAGTGAAATACACCAACCAATAATAAGTCTGACAAAACAAAAGAGCAATCTGCAAAGAACATTAAAAAACAGTATAATAGAATACAAAGATATTAAAAGCTATAAAACATTATAACAGAAATTATTAATAAAACAAATAAATGATCTATTAGCAAAACTAAACAGATTAGACAGTCTTGAACAATTAATAAAATTAAGGATTATGCAGGGCTGTTAGAGAGTAGGTTTAACAGAAAATATATAAAAAATAAAAGAAATGCTAAAAGACATAGAAGGTTGAAAAAGTAACTTAACTTGTCTAATATTATTAAAAACAAGAAAGCTTAATATAAACATAAAAACAGAAAGTACTTTATAGATAATGCTTATATATAAAATCAAAGTAAAAAAACTCATAGATAAAAGAATATTTCAAAAGATAAAAAAAGAAAAGAATAGATAGTATATAATGCACAAAGTCATTGACAGTTAGAAAAAATAATTAAAAAAAAAAAAGAAAAAATATTAGTAGAACATTTGCAAATACAAAATAAAAAAAGTGAACTAGCTGTCAAATTAATAGATGCAAAGGTTGTATAAAGAAAGAAGAACATCTAAAAGATAGCTGCTAGCAGTGGATAAGAATAAACAACAAAATTAATATAATTTCAGATATATTGATAAAAAAAAATAACAACAAAATTAAGATAGCAATAAATTAAATAATAGAAACAATAAAGGCAACTGAATTAGAAATTGAAAAACAAAAACTTAAGGGACTAAGAATAATAAAAGAGCTAGAAGTAAAAGTGATTAGATAACAAAATCTAAAAAAGAACATTAGTCAAAAAATAATAAAAGTTTTGAGAAGAAACATAATAAGAAACAAAAATAAGTATATAATATATATATATAGAACAGCATAAAGAAGATACAAAAATTAAAAGTAATATAAACATAAGATGAATGCAAACAGATAAAACACAAAAATAACCAGAAGAGGAATTAGTACTCAATTTAGAAGAATGACAA